CCGTTGGGCCCGATGTCAGCGTCGATGGCGCGCACCTCCACCACCACGGTGCCGATTGTTGCGTTCTGTTACACACAATCATGTTACATCGATACACTTTAATATTGTATTTGTTAATGCATTTTGTCATCTCATTACGAATAGCTATTAAAAAGCTAGCTTTTGGCCATGCTTCCGTCCATGCTGAATTAAAAAAAATTTGTCTTTGAGTTCTACATTTGTGCCAAATTCCATCAAGGGTAGGTAGTGAAATATCAACTATCAGTATCGTACTAACATGAGAGATGCGAAAATCCGTACGTATGTATGGATGTACTACATATCTTTAATGGATCTCCATAATGTGTCTAGTCTAAAAAAAACTACTTACTAAATTTCTTATTGTTAAATCTCGCTTTGATTCCTATGAACCTATATAGAGGTGTGCACACTACTCGATTTTTAGTTGTGCAACTAAACAGTTTACCTGGCTGCGAAACTATCGATAATCGTACGCCCGCTTTTAGTCGCATTAATAAGCAACGAAAAATGCACAGATTAAAAATTAAAAAAAAATAGTTTATTACCTCTGGTACTTTAATAGTGACGTTCTGCGGAGGGTGCACGAACACGGGCGGGTGGTCGTTGTAGTCAGTGACGCAGAGACGCAGTACTCCGCGCGCGGCGAGCGGCGGGCGGCCGGCGTCGCGCGCCTCCACTACCAGCGAGTAGTTACCGAAGCGGTCCTGCAGCGACTGGCGGGCGAACACACGCGCCGTGTTCCTCTCGCCTGATACCGACTCCAGGCGGAACAACTCTGTATGGGACAAGGAGGTTTTGTTATTAATACTAGTTTTCGCCTGCGACTCCGTCCGCGTGAAATTAAAAAAAAAGGAGTAGCATATGTGCGTCCAGACTATTCTTGGATCTGGATGAAATTTGGCACAAATGTAGAACATTGTCTAGAAGAACACCTATGGGTTCTTCCAGACTATGTTCTAGAAAAATAGCCTATGCTAAACTATTTTTTTTATTATATATTTACGAGGGCGGAGTCCTAAGCGAAAGCTAGTCAATACTAATAAAATAAAGCGTAAACTTCTATGTTATATAGGATGGTAGGAATTACAGCATATTTTTTAATAGCAGAGTTTTACCTACCATTAAAACTCATATTATGTCCGGAGCCTTATTCGAGGCCTTGT